CGTGACAGATCGCTGTAGTCCTACTAGGCTCGTCATCTCAAGCGGCAGTGCAGCGCACGAGTAAACGTGATCATCTCTTCCTCAGTTAAAGAATGGACACCTGAAAGTATGTTGAAAGATACAGTATACTTACTGAAAGGCATCATAACTAGTGTAATCGTTCAATCAGTGTTTCAGCAGTGGAAAGATGCCAATAAAACAGCATAGCTTGTCACTTGCATTATATTTACCTCAATAGGCACGTGATTCAGTGTCCACAACTTCCTATAAATGAACTCTTGCACTAAATAAATGCACTATGTTAGCCTGTATATTATATTTTGCTTAACCTGTTAATGATATCTTGATTATTTAATGTATGTGTAACAAGGTTCAGAGAAGAAGGAGGCAGGAACCGGATAATATTGAAAAATAAAACTTTATTTAAACAAAATAAACAAACAAAATACCTGCCAGCAGCCCCTCACGGACGACTGCTGGCTACCCAAAATAAAACATAAATACCGGCCAGCAGCCCCTCACGGACGACTGCTGGCTTACCAAATAAAATATAAAATACAAATAAAAGCAGGCCTGTTCCTCTCTCTCTCATCCACTCCGTCGCTCCCCCTTTATGACTCCGCTCCTTCGTGAGAGATGCGAGACCGGTGTGCTTCGCAGGTGCTGCTCATTAGCAATCGCAACACCGGCCTCGCGACTTTCTCTCACGTCCCTCGGCCGTCCTGCTCACCACATACCCCCATCACCCCTCACAGGCCGGGGGGTACACCCGAGACTGTGCCTACTTCCCCCCCGGCGGCGGCGATCCCTGGGGGGTATGGATCGACGAGCCGAGGGAAACAGAGACGGAAGCCTGAGGAGCGACGGACACGAGAGAGGGGAGAGAGGAAAAAAAAATTAAAAAAAAAAAATAAAAAATAGTCCGGCTCCCACAACGCGCTGCCATCTTGTCCCTCACCAGCTGGGCGATCTCCTCCGCGGTGCCCGGCGGCGACGCTGGATGGCCCTCGGTGAACGCCTCGACGCTCCCCCGCCCCCGGTGGACGGCGACGGCTCCTCGGGTGCCTTGGGCAGACGGCAGGAGTCCCCCGCTCCCTGCTCCTCCCCTTCACTGGCGGATGGCAGCAGGCTCCGGCCCACGGCGAGCGGCGGTGACTCCTCCTCTCCCTCCCGGAAGGCAGCCGCCCCTCCATTCCCAGGCGGTCGGCGGCGAGCTCGGGCGTCCCACCGGCAACTCACCCCAGCGCCCCACCTCGAGCGTCCATGGCCGCGAGTCCCCCGCTCCCTGCTCCTCCCCATCTGCGGCGGACGGCAGCAGGCTCCGGCCCACGGCGAGCTGCGGCGACTCGCGCACCATGCTCGATGGCACCGCGGATTCCCCACAGCGGCGAGGACCCTCGGACAGCGCGTTCCTCCCTCTTCCCGGGTTTTCGGCACCAATGTAACAAGGTTCAGAGAAGAAGGAGGCAGGAACCGGATAATAATGAAAAATAAAACTTTATTTAAACAAAATAAACAAACAAAATACCTGCCAGCAGCCCCTCACGGACGACTGCTGGCTACCCAAAATAAAACATAAATACCGGCCAGCAGCCCCTCACGGACGACTGCTGGCTTACCAAATAAAATATAAAATACAAATAAAAGCAGGCCTGTTCCTCTCTCTCTCATCCACTCCGTCGCTCCCCCTTTATGGCTCCGCTCCTTCGTGAGAGATGCGAGACCGGTGTGCTTCGCAGGTGCTGCTCATTAGCAATCGCAACACCGGCCTCGCGACTTTCTCTCACGTCCCTCGGCCGTCCTGCTCACCACAGTATGTTTAAAAAATCTTTCATGAAAATGACAACTGTGTAAATTATTAGAGTAAAAACACAAGTTAATGTAAAAACTGCCTTATGTTCAGTTTACATGTTTTCATACAATGTGTTGTGTGTTGATTATTATACCTAAAAAATAAATAGCATCTGAATTTAGGTTAAAAGTCTAGGCTACAACCTTTAATGTTTTAGTAATGTGCGGCTCCCTATATAGTTTACAGCATAAGCAGATTTTTTTTTTAATCCTTGTGAAATGTTTAATTGTAATTGAACTCATTTAAAGACAGACCATTTTTTTTTCATTAAACCTCCTTTAAAAAATAAAAAGCCATTTTAGCTTTCTAAACCGAACCGAATCGAACCAAACAGAGACGTCAAAACCGTGGGAAAACCGAACCGTCAGTTTTGTGTATCGTTACACCCCTAGTGTTTAAGTGGTATAATCGAGTCTCCGGTGCATCTACCAACCCAGAAAACGTGAAAAGTGTTTTGGTAAGCCTTTCACTGCAAGCATGTCAAAAAAATAAGCCGATCAGATTTCGCCCCCCCTTAATCTGCACGTTTCCACCCACGGCGCCGCCATTTGGTTTTCGCAAGTGACAACAGTGTAACCAGTTCTAACGCAATGGCAGAAGTTCAAACTGTTCTGTCGTTGTTGCACAACAATGCACAGAACATTATTGGACCAAAAAATGTCACAGCTGTCTTATAAAGACCTCAAGAGACTTTATCAACTTGTGTAAAAGTTAAACATGATGGTAAATGCAAGTCAACGACATGAATCAATGTAACTCCACAACAGCTGCATAAATGTATCTACCAACCATTCAGAAACGCACAGGTGCTTCTAAACGTTGCAACCTCTTCCTGAGTCTCTCCGTAAGGCTTCACATGCTACTGGTTAATTCTGGGATTTTAGATGATTTTGCTCACGCCCAAAAAGGGAGATTTATAGACACCAAGGATTTATATTGCATCTTGTGAAAAGGGTCATAACATGTCACCTTTAAAGGGATAGTTCACTTTGAAATTAATTTTTGATATGTTTTAGCTTACCTCAAGGGCATCCAAGATGTAGGTGTCTTTGTTTCCACAGTATTTTCAATTTTAAAATTTTTAGGTCAAACCATTCTTCTCTGTCAGTCATATAACGGAAGTTTATGGGGTCTACCCTGGGTTCACCTCAAAGAGCATGCACAGAAAAGTCCAAATTAAACATGATTTAATGACTCGTAAATGTAAGTACACATTGATGGCCTAAGACACAAAACGAGCGGTTTGTGTGAGAAAACGAACAGTATAACAGTAATATCGTTTTTACCTCTTGTAATCACAGTCATGTCCAAGTACCCTGAGGGCGAGGGCGCTTCTATCTGCGCAAGTGCGCCGGAAAGCCTCGGAAGTGATCTCTCGCGCATGTACGTCACTCATTGTTTACACAGAGATTTCATAAGTGTTATCCTTCACTGTGAAAATCTACAGGAAATTGCAATGGAAGACGATTTCGCTATATCAACAGACAACGTTGATTTGTTTTTCGCAACCGCGCAAGAGATCACTTCCGGCGCTTGCGCAGACCAAAGTGCCCGTGCCTTCAGATCACTTGGACGTGGCTGTGGTTACAAGAGGTTAAAACGATATAAATACTGTTCGTTTTCTCACGCAACCCGCTCGTTTCATGCCTTAGGCCATCAATGTGTAATTTACGAGTCATTAAATCGTGTTTAATTTGGACTTCTCTGTGCATGCTCTTTGAGGTGAATCCAGGGTAGACCCCATAAACTTCCATTATATGACTGACAGACAAGAACGGTTTGACCTAAAAATATCCAAATTGAAAATACTGTGGAAACAAAGACACCTACATCTTGGATGCCCTTGAGGTAAGCTAAAACATATCAAAAATCAATTTCAAAGTGAACTATCCCTTTAAATAAAACCATTTATTGTGGGTGTTCAAAAACAACACAAACCTAGCATATGGCTTTAGAAGACTTAGTGGCTTATTGGAGTATAGCACATAAGTCATATGAACTACTGTTATATTTTTATCACAATTGTTTTTGTGCTTTTGGGGGTTGACAAACTCTGGTCAAGATCTAGAAAAGAGCAACCTGATTTTTAGAGATAACATAATAATGTAGATGGGTTTGGAACAACATGAGAGTTAGTAAATGATGACTGACTTTTCATTTGTGGTGAACTATCTCTCTATATACACTAAAAACCAATGAAATACGGACACAGAACACAGGACACAGCACATCTGGAGTGTTTCAGGCACTCAAAACGCCACATCTAGAAAAAACAACCAGATTTGAATGACACTTTGATCGAGCGTGACATCGGTCCTCACAGCATATCCCTGTGACGGAGGATTCTGGGGTCAACAAATCAGATCATGTTGTGTGTGAATTCCTCTGCCCTGGTGTGTGTGTGTAATGTGGATGGACCATGAGAAATTTCATTGTCGTGTCAGACTGAAGGGATCAGATCGAAGTGACATTGTAATGAGAGACTCGCTATACACACATACACATCAACAGCATTAGAAATAGTGTCATAACACTGCATGTACTTTACAACAGGGGTGAGAAGAAACGCTCTCTTCCAGCGAGGAAAGACTGTTCTCTCGTTCTGCACACTAACGCTATCTATGTGACACACACACACATAATTTGTCCAGAACACCACACATCACAGATGTTATTTCTTAGAAAATGCATTGCACGAGTGTCGTCTAGTTATACATATTTAACAGACCTCAATTCTCAAGGCGCAGATTGAGTTTTCTTCAACAGCATGTGTTATTATTCAGGTCGCCGCAATACACTTCAACACCAAGGGCTCGACAATAAGGTCCAACAGACGTTCTTCTGATACTTAACAGATTGTCAATGGACCGGACACGTTTTTTCATTTACACATTTTTTGTAAGTCCTGCCAATTTCTATCCATTTATCCACCCACCCATCATTATTTATTTATCAAAAACCTAAACCACTAGCCTAACCAGGCCATTAGAAACATCCTTAGTGTTGAGTACTGATCACATGAAGTCTCAAAGAGAAAACTGACCATATAGATGGTCAAAGCGCACCTGTGGAAACATCTGGATTCATGTACTTGAGAATGTTTGTGGTCTTGCTGATCTTAACCCTTCTGGTTAGTCTCTACTCTTACCTGGTCCAGTAGCTGGTTGTAGAGCTCATGACAGTTGTCAAAGATGTATTTGTAGGTGGAGTCCAAACAGGCCTTCACACAGTCTTTAACTACCATACTGGCTCTGGGAGGATTCTGCAGCTCCTGCACCTGGAACACACACACACACACAAACACCTCCGAATTAGTCAAATACTAATACACAGACGCTTAAAATGACTTATAATCAGTAATCTTGATGTATGCAGTATGCCGTTTCTAAGGGTCTGTTTACACCTGACCACTTCATGTGTTGTCTCGGATCAGATAGCTATCTGATTTATCAAAATGATTCCATTTACACCTGGTCACATAGATGTGTTTTTGCAAAATCCGATCTTTAATTCCCGCTGCAGATTTAAAGGAGTGCATGTCACCGAAAGCAACAGATATGAGCGGCATTTTATTGATAATCAGCTAATTTCAAAATCAAAGACAGCAATAAGAGACCTGCACTCGGAGCGTTAACCGAACTGGTAAGATCATTTTGTTTCTTTACTTTTAATGAAGATGATTGTGTGTTAAGTGTCAGCGATTTACTTTCACTTTGATTTTCGATAGTCTGCGGTGCGTTGGCTTGAAGAATAGATACTCAGATGCGTACCGCAGTAGCATCATCATTTTGGACTAACATGACATATAGCCTATAACACCCTCTTACACATTTATATTTATGAATTTTTTGTAGGAGTAAAATTGACATATTTTGTTTCAACAACCAGATGCATTTACACAGTTTCGTCTGGAATGCGGCCCATACCACCTCCTGAAGTGGTTTGAGCGATCGGATTCAAATCCGTCTCGAATGTGTTTTGGAGGGCTTTTACACCTGGTCTTTTCATGATCGGATAGCTATCTGATCACAGAAAACACATGGAGTGACCAGGTGTAAACAGCCCTTAAGGTATTCTGTATAATAGTTTCTATGGCTTCCTGAAAAGTTTTCAGTGTTGCCATGTGAATGCTATGGTTGATAGTGATGTGGTTGCTAGGGTGTTTTGCACTATTATTGTGCAAATTAGAATCCACACAGAATACTATAATCTACAACCATTCAGGGTCCGGTTGCAAAAACATAGCCATTACGTACAACTGGTGTGTCCCAATTCGCAATTCTCAATTCAAATTCTATGTCGTTTTGTAGTAGTATAGGCACATAATATAGTATAGTATAGTATACGTAGTATAGGCACGAGTGCTGTTCACACTGAATTACAAAATGAAAAAGTGCACTTTAAATACCCAGATAACGGACTTATTTAAAAAAATAAATAAATAAATAAATAATGAAGCTTAGAATATTGAACACTTAAAAAAAAAAACTTTTTGGGGGGTTGAAAACTTCACGCACTCATAGCTAGGGTTGGGAACCGAGAACCGGTTCTTTTCCAGAACCGGTTGTGTTTTTGAAAAAATACCGGAACCGTGCAAAATTCCTAAGTTTCGGTTCCGAAAACGGTTCTGATGCCGATGCGATATCATCATGTGGGCGAAGTGCTGGGAGTAGAAGACGCCGTCTTATTCCTAAATGACAAAAACTTCACCACTGAAGTTGCGATTTGCTCTCACACGCGCTGCATTTGTCACACACAGACACACGCACGCTGCGCGCGCCGACCGCCGAGTCACTCTCTAGCCTACATTCAAATCTGTTTGAGAGAGAGAGCAGTTGTCGATATGAAACTGCTTTACAATCACACAGTCTCAATATTTATTTGTTTCACATATTCAAATGATTTCCGTTACAGAATTAGTGAGATTATAGTTTGAGTAAACATTGACGGTAGTGGTCAAAACAGATGCAGTCCGTATATTTTTTGTGTTCAGAATTTACAAAAATATATACAATGAGCGAGTGCATCATAATGTTTTTTTTTCAAACCGTGTTTTTGTCTTATCTTGAATCACTACGTAAAGCCTGTAATAAGCGTTAATACTCGGACTTCTTTAGACTGGCCGGCGGATCGCAGCTGCTGCGGAGTAGCCCAATGCCTGCGTGACTCGTCATGGACATAAACAGAGAGAAGTAGCTCCGGCAACAATGTTCTTCCGCAAGACGCCTGCAGTTCTGTTTATTAACTGCTAGAGCGCCGATTTATCCAGTAATGAAATAAGTAAAGTCTTTATGAATCAATCATTCAAACCGTTTTAAAAAATAATCTGTTCTACACACATATGTGTGTTAAAGCATATACTATTTCTTCTGAGAGGGTATTCTTCACTGTTGGAGATACAATAAAGGAGAGGTCTAAATTATTATAGAGAATGCAGCATTTTTTAATTTCCTTTATATATAATTTTTTTTTTTTGCAAAGATTGCTTAATAATATTTTGAGTTTGTTTACATTACCAGTCTGTTAAACTAATTTGTCATGTACTATAAGAAATAAACACAAAAAAGGATTGTGGATTTTTCTCTTACTAATATTTTTAATTGAATGGGAACCGGAACCGGAATCGTTTGGCGGAACCGGAATCGTTTGGCGGAACCGGAATCGGAACCGGAACCGGAAAATTTCTCACGATTCCCAACCCTACTCATAGCTTTAATTACGTTGCTTTAAATACATAGCAGAGGGGCTATCAGTCTCTATGTTGAAAGATGAACAACCTTATAGTTTATTAACTACACCAGGGCTATTCAATTAATTTGGAATTGGGGCCGGTTCATGAAACTGAAGCGAAATTAGGGGCCAGAGAATATGGGTAATTATTGTAACAAATAAAGAAATTACAATAACATACTGAAGGAATCAATATATTCTATTTTGTAAATGCAGAACAACATACAGTATGCACATTGTGATGCACTAAGACACATAGGCCCAATGCATTGTTACATTTAAATGGAAATACAATGTTGACAGGCAACATCAAATGTATCTCCACCAACAAAACAAAAAACCAAAATGCATAGTGTGGTACAGAATACAATTAAAACAACAAAAGTACACTGTATTTAATCACATTAATCAGTTTAGGTGAGCCATATAAGTTGTTTAGAATTTCATTAATTTAACTAACAAACAACTTCAATTCCAAGTGCACCAACAAAAATAAAACCAAAGTGTATAGTATGGTACAGAATAGAATTATAACAACATAACAGTGCATGGCAATTTATCAAGGCAAAATATTTCAAACTGCATTCAACAATAATACCACATCAAGAAAAACATTAAGTGCATAATATGGTGTGAATAACTTGTTAATGTTAATTGCATCATACTGTTCAAAATAGTTTGCCAACATTTGCCATCTAATGAGAGAAACGGCATTTTTTTGACTTGGCAAGAGCAGTGAAGTCAGGTGTATATTCTGTCAATGTGCAAGCAGTGTTGGAGATGCTGGTCAGTGAGGGATATGCCATTTTGAGTTTTAATGGCGTTCATGTGTGAGAATGAAGACTCGCAAGTGTACGTTGAGCCAAACATTGTCAGAAGAAAAAGTGCAAGGCCCCTTGAATGTGGAAATTTCTCTTGGCTGACTTCATGGGTCCAGAATTTCTCAAAACCTGCCTACAGCAATGACTGTCGCAAGTCATCTGACGACTGAATGTCAATGAGTTCCAGTTGTAAAGACCAAAGCATTTTTTCAAAGCATTTCCTTTGCTAAGCCATCTAATGTCATTGCGATTGAGCAAATCTTTATATTCAGCAGACATGTCAATCAACAGCTTGCGGAAAAGGCGGTGCAACGGAGGTACAACGGATGAAGTCACCATGACAGAGTCGCCATGGTCTCTTTTAACTCACCACTAAGCTTGACACACAGGAGGCTTTGGTGGATGAGACAATGCAGAGATCTCACCTGCGGAGTCGCAGCTGCCATCTTCCCGGCAAGCCCCTGATCCCTGCCCGCCATTGAGGGCGCACCATCCGTCACCAACATGTTGACGCGCCAAATCCAAGTTGATCTCCAAAAAGAATGAAGCAATTTTATTTTGGTGAAGAGAATCTCACTGGTAGTGTGCCCCTCCATGGAAATTAGTCCAAGCAGATCCTCACGAAAACATTCCCCATCAAAAAAATCACACATAGAGGCACAGCTCGACTCATCCACAGCCAAAGACATCACCTCAGCTTTCCTCAGCTTGTCCAAAAGCGTCCAAAGCAAGGTATGCCAGCATACACTCCTTGACTGTCTCAGAGTCTGTAAACAGCTTTTTCTTTTTGCCCAATATCCATGCCACTCGTAACAATGCCGCAGTTGCTCTCACTTGATCCGTACAGGCCCAAAACAAAATGCGACGTCTTTGCTCATAACAAGATGTAAGCCCTGTTATCTTTTGCCTCCGAGTAGCAGAGCCCGGTGGGAAAGTAGTTATCATGTGTTGTCTTGAAATGCCTTCTCAAAATATACTCCTTGCACATGGCGAGGCACTCGTTGCAGATTAAGCACACAGGATTCACATCAACGACAATAAACGCGTATTTCAGTGTCCATTCATTGTTGAACTGCCTTTTCTCTGGGTCAGTTTTTCTTTTTTTTAAGGTAGAGAGAGACATTTCAAACTTAATTTTTATATCGACATTTATATCAAAATTAGCTACTTGTTAGTGTTGCTTGAAAGAAAAACAGAGCATGCCGCGAATGGGTGATTTTGATTGGTCATGTACCTGTTTTGCCTCAATGGCTTAAAGGGGTGCATACCACCTAATACTGCACGAAATAATTTACAATTAACCATGAAACTACCCATACTGTATGTAATAACTACACTCAGTGGCGTAAATTTGTTTTAAAAAGTGATTTAATTTGTCGTTTAATGAGGTCTAATATATGTTGTCAGTGGCAAGAATTTTCACGTGAATAAATACATTGATCCGACTGTTGGAAGTGTATATTTGAATGGTCCAGTGGTAGAATTTTTGCTAAGCAAAAGGGTTTAGGGTTTGGGTTCTAATCCGCATTCGAATAGGTTCATTTTTTTTTCTTTTTTTTTTTTTATCAAAACCAATTATGTTTATCAGTGGGTGAATATCAGGCAGAGACAAGTTTGTGTGCATTTTGTTTATTAATTTCACCGTAACGAATAGACGAGTCTCCTCTCCACAACGGATTGAAGCGCACGTCCGTCTAAAGACTGAGCGAGCAACAAGAGAACACGTATCCGCCACTGATCGCTGCGCTATTTGATCACTTGATTTCAAAAACAACACATTTCAGCGCTAGATTGCCTCGTATCTAACAAACGAACGAAATGAATGCTCTGCTAGTTAACTGGATATTTTTTTTATTTATTTGTATAGGCTACATTCATGCCGCGAGATGTTTCAAAAGTGATGGGGACAATTTCCACCCACAAATTATGCCTTAAGGGCCGGTTCAAAATCCCTCAGGGGCCGGATCCGGCCCGGAGGCCACCAGTTGAATAGCCCGGAACTACGCGATTGATAAGTACATAGTGTATAGTGCGTCATTTGGGACACAACTTGTATCTTTAGATCTAGTATTACCCCAATACTCAGACAGCAACATAGTGTCTGCCCAGATCTGGCCCACATCTGGTACACGTGGATTCCACACGGCCCAGATGTGGGCCAGATCCGGTACACGTGGACTCCACATGACTCCACACTCCACGCCAACACTATGTTGCTGTCTGGGTAGCAGTCAAGAGGAAGTCAGTCTAATTTTTCGGTATCAAATTAGGCCAATCTACGTTTATATGTAACTGATTAAAAATGTTATGAACAGTCATACAGAAAACAATTTGATGTCTAACTTGTAAGACTAGCCTTAGCGGTTTATGCAACCGGCTCCCGAACTCTGTGGCAATTGCAGAGTAAAAAAGCATAGCAACTCAGACTTACTAATTACTTAGCAACCACATAATAATGCCCTGGCAACCACCAACAACACTTCTGCAAACACATAGCAACGTGCTACAGTATGTGGTTACTAAGGTGTTGCATACTGCTTCAAGAGTCCAAGTCTCTGTGATATTAATCATTTTTTTTATGTTTCTGTTCACCATCACATATATCTGATCACTTAGTAAAATACCAGTACAGCTCTACTCAACAACAAACAAGATTTAAGGAATCATCCATGTAAGGAGGAAAAATGCTTCAGAACGAGCTAAAAGTCTCATACTTTTTGCCATTAATTAGAGAAGACAAACACACACACAAACACATTTGTCTGTCTATTTCTCTGCTTTTCCAGTATATTTTGGACTTATTTCTCTCCTTGTACAGAAGTCGAAGAAGATACTGAAAATACTCCCTCAGAATATGTAAATGAATAACATCAGAATATACATACAGTATTAGAATGACTAAACTCATCTGCCGGTGCCGTGTTGCTGTTTCTGAATGCAGACGCTAAGGGGAGAAATAAACATCACCCTGGCATGGGCACTCTTCCATTACCCATAATGCTTTGTGACAGTTGGAGTTTTCATTCTCTGCCTAGCGGTATTCTCTCGGTGGGCGGGGCTTCCTTTGCCTCTTTAGCCGTGCTTCACTGATTCGCCTGCTCGGACCACTCTAGCTGTTAGTCATTAAAATGACGAGGCGCTTTTTATCAGAGGCAAGGCCTGCCTAATAAACTGACAGCGCTAGGTGTGTATGTGTGTATGGATGTGACACCATCTCCTCATGCCTCAGTCTACTCTGTACGACTAATCCAAACACACTCCTTAATTCTCACAGTTCACAGGCAATCAAATCGGCATGTGGGTCAATCACAAACAAAGAAAATCGGGAGATGATGACTATTCTTATAAAAATACAAGCCAAGTAGTTTGATTATTTAAATATTTCTTTTAATATAAATGAAGAAACTTTAAGATAAGAAACTTAAAATCCTGAAAATAGTTGTCTTGTCATTAAAAACAAAATGGCTTCCACCAAGTCAGTTAAAATAACATATTAATACAAAAATATAATCTATCTATATTATTAAAATAAATGTATTACATTAATATATATATATATATATATATATATATATACAGTTGTACACATGAAAAGTGCTATATAAATGCCTCATTCATTCATTCATTCATTGTCTGTTCTTATAAACTATAAAATAATATTTTAATATTAATACAAAAACCACTTCAGTACAGTCCTCGTTTTTAAGAATCGCATTTTAAATGTAGCTTTTAATACATTCATTGATCCAGACCAAAATAAAAATGAACATCATCATTGACCCACATTGAGTTTTGAATAAAACATTATCTATCTACATCAAAGGCCCAAAACATATTCCACGCAAGTACACAAACGCTTCTAGCAACAAAAGCTTGATTCATGCCATTGCATTCTGAAATGTGTCAGGAGGATATTAATAATTCAACAAGGGAACAGTTTATGGGTTGATAATATAACATGTGGTTTAATGGCACAGACATTTGAACAAAACTTCAAATTCGTATTAGTGTTTGCATACTTGCACACTGTACTGTATGTTTGTGGCCAATGGCTGTCAATGTCTCAGCAAGGACTAAATTTGACAAAACGAAATAGCAAATGTGTTTACGTCTGTGTAAATGAAATATAATAGCCTGGGAGGAGAAAGGAAGGAGAAAAAAATCAATCACTGTTTATTATTTGTATTGGATTTGATGTTTTTTTAACAACTCATTTTACAACTTGAACTGCAATTACAATAGTCAGTCATATATTAAAACAGAGAATCAAGCTCAGTGAACTAATAACAGGGGCCAATCGTGGCTGTGGTCTCATTTAAAGTATGTCTACTAAATAAAATAGTCTGGTTGGTTGCCCTTAGGCAACCTAAAGCTCTGAGTAGTGTCGATTTTACAAGCACTTTTGCTCTGAATACATTTACAGACGCGGCTCCCCAACAGCGAGAAATCAGTATATTCTTTATGACTTATCAAAAAAGGCTGTATTGTCTCATTCAGAGCTGAGCTATAAGTCAAAGACGTTTTTATTGCCACAAGACCCCCAGAACAAGTGGTTCTTGTTATTGTGCTCAAACAAATGTGACTCAAGTACATATTTCAAGAGCCAAAAGATTATTTTTTTTTTTTATTTCGTGCAAACAAATGAGAAATCATTGAAACCCTGCAGCGCCGGTGAAAAATATTTCATTACAGACTGCAAAAGTGCAGCTTTATATTCACAGCTGATGAAGCAGAACATAGATGAAAACAATCAGAGAGTATTTCACTTTATCTGTGCTCACTGAAGTGAAACACATCAGAATTCTCTCAATGCCGGACTCTTATCAGGAGAGCTGTGATTAGCAGCTCATTCCACTCAAGACACACTCCTGTTTCTTCAAAACGAGATCTGTATCAGAACGGCTGTGAATGAATCGGAAATTCAGAATCGGACAAGTCAAAAACTTGTCAGGGCCCTATATATTTCAGCCCCAAAATATATAAGCATAAAGAAAATGAACCTGGCTATTCAGAGATCTTTTTTTCAAAAACGCCATTGAACTCATACTTGATACAGGACTCGAACTGTGTCAAGAAAAGCAGTCAGCTTAACGTTAAAGCATCTTATCGTGTACAAATTGATGTAGGAATAATTCAAAAGTCTTCTTTGTTTCATTATGGGAAGGACTCATGTTAACTTTTGCCTCAAGCTGATATATAGTCACATTACATTGTATGACACATGAATGACATTTTCTCATCAAAATGCATGCTGCTTCCCCAAATATTACACGACATAATAGCCTACTTAATAAATCACCCAGTCTTTCGATAAAGACGTTTATTCAGTGTTCATGAGTTTAATGGATTTAGAGATGTATTACATATACTTAACATTTTAGAACAGAATCTTGAGCTATGCAATGGATATTTTTCTGAATATACCTTGAGCAATGCAAAGGGTTTTTGTTTAAGATTGTTTGTGCTAGAATAGAAATATATGTATATATATATATATATATATTTGGTTGTGAATTCACGCTGGTGTATTGAAAATTAGAAATGGGGACAAATTTTAAGAGGTAATGTGCATAATTGTCATGAAATTAATAACAATATCGGTAACACTTTACAATAAGGTCCATTATTTAGCATTAGTTAATGTATTAATTGACATGAACTAACCATGAGCAATACATTTGTTACTGTATTTGTTAATCTCCATTGATGTTAGTTAATTCAAATAAAGCTGTTCATTGTTTTGTTCATGTTAGTTCACGGCGCATTAACTAATGTTAACAAGAATTGAATAAAGTATTAATAAATACTGACATTTACAAAGATTAATAAATGCTCTATAAGTGCAGTTCATTATTAGTTCATGCTAACTAATGTGGTTAACTAATGAACCTTATTGTAAAGTGTTACCATAATAATACTAATAATAATGCAAAAAAAATTAAAATTAAAACTTATTGGTTTTGGAGCAAAATGTAACTTTGTGGGATTCATTCAAAATTAGGATGTGACAGGAAGTTAGTTGAACAGGATTTTATTTTCCATTTAATATATTTGACTACTTAATGCAGGGAATAATTATTAAGTCCTTCACACTGAATAAAAACTGCAATAATGTTTTGACTGCCGCAAAGTCGCAAAACCCCTGATAGTTTCATTTATATTTTTATATGAAAGAATTATCTTTCATGAAATGCTTGAGTTTTTTTTTTTTTTTTTTTTATGAGTCTGAGTCATAGTGTGGAGTCACACTGTTTTAATTAGTTAAAGAGCCCACATACTGTACTGTTTGTGTGTGTGTGTGTGTGTGTGTGAGAGAGAGAGAGAGAGAGAGAGAGTGAGAGAGAGAGAGTGAGTCGTACCTTCATCCTGAAAAAGGTGATGCTCGTCAGCAGGTCAACGGTTGATTTTAAATCCTGCAGTCTCTCTGGATTTCCAGCAGGGAAGTTATCCTGTAAACACAGAATAAAAATCAGATTTTATTTGAAGGGCGAAGATAAATAGATTAAGATTACAGTTGTGGCTACATATTTGATGAAAAGAGGCAAGTCAAAAGACAGCATAGCTCAGAAAGATGGACTATATAGGTCTATATTTTGGCATAACAGAAAAACATGTAGTTTGCACTTGCAGAAATATCCCAGATAACAACAGATTATCAAAATGTATATGATAGATGTGGCTATAGACTGATTTCTATATCGCATTAGAGTTTGATGTTACCAGTTGCTAAATTAACAACAATTAAAAATCCCCAGTATACGTAGGTTTAAGATTAGGTGTGGGTGTGGGGTTAGGATTAGGGGGTGAAGTTAGGATTAGGAAATCAGTTAGCAGCTTCAACAAGGGAGGGGGAAATAATTCGCCAAGGAATAAAAATTCGAAAAAATACTGGTTCTAAATGTCCAAGAACCATGGATTTGTTAAGACATGTACATTTCAATTCTGCTTATTGATTCCTGTGTGATTTTAAATCATTCAAGGGCAAGAAGAATGCGAAAGATTTTAAAAATTGTATTTGCACACTGTTTTCCTGCTTCCAACACATCTGAAGTGAGCGCACAAAAAGCTCCCTCTCAGATAGTGTGCGAATGCTGAATTGAGTCATCATTCGTGTCTTGTTGCGCTTGAACTGAAAAAAATACAAACAAAGTTATGTCAAAGGGGCTATTTACACCAAGTGACCTGGTCAGCAGTTCGCTGAAGAAAGACTTAGCTGCACATTTGCGGTGATGTGTGCTACAGTAGGGCTGTCATATCAGCGGAGCAAGTTGATATATTAAACTTTTACAGTATCTAGGCAGCAAAACTCCAAACAATTTTTTTTTAAAAATGACTCAAGTGCCGTTCTTAGTTCTGGTTTCAAAGAAAAGCTTAAGTTCAAATCATCCAGAGTAGCGGTCAAAGCCGAATCGAAAGACAGCTGTTCACCAGCAGCAGCCATTCTTTGTTTTCAAGTAACAGTGAACCGTCGCAACTCTGTCGTCATTATGTTAAGCCCGCCGACTCTATAAACGATGTGATTGGCCTGACCAGAGTTTGGTTTTTCCAGCTAAAACGTCTATGGAGAGTTGCTAGACCACACTGGCTGCGAAATTGCTACTGCTATGGTGCGTCTAGATTTCAAGGCTATCTCACACCTCCTCCTGAAGTCGTTTGAGTGATCTGATTTAAATCTGTCTCATATGCGCTTCTGAGGAAATTTACACCTCGTCTTTTCACGATAGGATAGCTTTCCGATCAGAAAAAAAGCATTAAGTGACCAGATGTAAACAGGCCCAAAAACAGTCAGTTTTATCTCAAGTGAACGTAAACCGTTGAGGAAGAAAATGTGTAACGGTATATTTGATGTGTGCATTTGGTCTTAGTGACATCAGCCTAATATACAGTACCTGCTGCCGTCAGCCATTAATGTTAATAACAGAACAAAAGATTTATTTATGCCATTGCTAATACTTTTATTTGTTCTTATTTATTACTAAGTGATTACTTGTCTTTAATAGTGTTTGAAATTATATAAGTTAGGCAAGATGTTTTCTTTAACATTACGATAAACATCTCTAGATAGTGGATGTTTCACCTGGTAATATTTCAAATGGCCTTTTACTAAAGTTGAGGAGCTTTGGCAGAGATGGATGGTTAAAAACATGTCAACATTCTTCATTCACCTAGCAGCATTATGCGGCAAAATTAATAACCAAAACGTATTCCATCGTCATGAACACCAGTGACAAAATATATCATAATATAGCGGCATGAGCAAAATCTGCAACAGGCAGAGAAAATGTGTTCTTGGGCTGTAAAGCTATCAGCCTGTCCGCTCTAGCATGAAGGAACACAGTATATTTACACTGTGAGAGGAAGAGGCCATGCATGTGCGGACAGTCCCCAACACAAAACGAGCTTGGAGAAAACCAATAGCCGTGGGAAACTCATTGTGTTCTGTCGGATTGCGCTAATGGCAGCTAAAACAAGTTATAAAATGTCACTGAGTTTTGTGACGGCGTGGTTATGCAATAGTTATGACTTGGTTTTGTAAGAATGAGAAGAGACTCCTGTGGTCTGCAGGTTTGCTTTTCGGCACTTTTATCAATGCCAGAGCGTGAGATGTTTCTGTACTTGGCTGGTGTTTCACCGCAAATTTCTAATTATTCTGAAAATTACTGAAAAGATGTTGAAAACTCAGCTTTAAATCACAGGAATGAATTACATTCAGATCAAATAAATGTAGCATTGTTGAGCATGAGAGAGATATTTAAAAAAAATCATAAAAAAATCTTACTTACCTGGAAATTTTGAAAGGCTAGTATGATATTTGTGAACCTATTAATTTGATTTCCAACAGATGGCTAAAATAAACTGTTGCAACACATTGGGGACAAGTTATAAATGTCACTGAGTTTCGTGACGGCATGGTTATACAATAGTTATGACTTGTTTTTTGTAAGAATGAGAAGAGACTCCTGTGGTCTGAGGTTTGCTTTTCGGCACTTTTATCAATGCCAGAGCGAGAGACGTTTCTGTACTTCTTGGCTGGTGTTTCACCGCAGCTTTCTAATTATTCAGAGTGAGTCAACAACAACCACCAAAAAACTAAGACAAATCAATTTAGGCTGTTTTCACACTTGCTTCGATTCCACATCCCTCCCTCTATTGCCGCAGGTCTTTCCTCAACAGTATTTTTGGGGTTGAATTGCGGTAGTGCTAGCAGCAGCTGTTCATCAATGCAGCTGGTAGCAAACAATATTTTTTGGTGATTTCTTGTGAACAGAGAATTAACTAATGTTAACAGATTTAAAGGTAAATAAATTTAGACATTAAGCTTAACTAAGATTAATGAGTAGAGTAGAAGTATTCTTAATTGATTGAATACAAATCCTATGCCATCAATATACTGCAAATAAAAAGTTCACATGACCTCACAAGAACTGCCCTCCATACAAACTGAAATCTCAGACTTTGGTCTACTTTAAAATCTCTAGAGTGAAATAAATCATCACGGTTTCCACAAAAACATGGATTGGAGGGCAACCATTTTCAACATTGATAATAATAATAAATGTTTCTTGAGCATCAAATCAATTTCTGAAGGATCATGTGACACTGAAGACTGAAATAAAAATCACAGGAAAAAATTACATTCAGATCAAATAAATGCAGCATTGTTGAGCCCTATTTCGTCCAAAATTTTTGCATCTAAAAAAATAAATACGTCCTCACGTTATGTCAATCACGCTTGCACACTGCCTCTGAAACTTTCGTTCGTCAAAAAAAAAAAAAATCGAATCGGGTTCAATATTCTGCGTTTTTCGCATCCGTATCAAGCAGTTTGAATGGAGTTTGAATGATGTTTTGACAATTCAGAGCCACCAAATCACGAATACGGAAAAAAAAACCACATACGAAAATTAAGGACTCGGTGTGCAATGGCCTAATGGCCTAAACAAACTAATTTGATTTCCAACAGATGGCTAATATAAACTGTTGCAACACACTGGACACAAGGAGTATTGTGCGATCAATCTTTTCCGTGATAAAATTATTGTTTTGAAAGCACATGGAATGGTGCCAGATTGAGCAGAAAGCGTGTTTTCTGGAGTTCAGTGTGATTTCAAGGCTTTTGGAGAAACGTATAATCCTGTGCAAGTGTAGAGGAGATAAGTCTGCCTGAGGTTTATCAAGCACAACTATGATGTAGACAAAACAGACTCAAATGGTTTAAATTCATCTAATAAAGCAGAGGCGTTAAAGCACTCTGGAGGAACAAAACCTGCATCGGCCAAATCCACACGAGCAACTGAAAAACCAAACTCACTTTTTCTCCGAATTTCATTACAGTCAAGTCCCCAGAGCGCTGCAGATCTGGAGTGTATTACTGTCAGGACATGTTGCCTGGAAGCTGACGGCCGGATAGCAGCAGGTAACGGGCACTGAATTCCCTGGAAGCATGCCAGGAGTGAGTGTGTGTGTGTGTGTGTGTGTGTGTGAGCTTCCTGTCAATGCTTTCTAGCTCACACACAGATATAGACGGACTGCACATCAACGAGAAAGTCACAGACTTAAATATCTGATCTGACTGTGAAAGCGTCCTTTCAGAAGAAACAAACGGTTGGAGTGAGTGACATTTTCCCTGAGAGACACAATTAGTATAAAAGCAAGAAGGTCAGCACGAGTCAAGCACAATCTTTGATTTTCAGAGACACTTTCTCAAATCCTTGCTTTGTGCGTGTATAAATGGACCTAAGGTAGCTAAGTGGCTCAGATAATCATCCACAAAAAAAACTTTTCTGTTAAGATCCTGTATAGGCGCTTGAATGTCTTTGTAAATTAAGGTAGGGGATCACTAAAAGTGATGGAGGGGGTCAAATTATCTCCATGGCGATGAATAATAGATAAGTGTTTTTCTTTCTGATGTCTCTGAAATAGAAAATCCACCTGGAGCAGCGTAGCGTCTGAGAGATGCATGTGTGCTCTAAGATCTTCGGTTTGACGGTTGTGCTTTAACTCACCCGATACTTGGAGAGATCGATCCTTAGAGAGTTGTGAAGCTGATCCAAGAGTTTGACGAACTTTTCTCTCTGCAGAAAACCAAAGTCACATAAAGCGGATCCTGTCATCCATCTATTACTTTTGTTTGTGCATTCATCAATTCAGTCTTCAACATATCATCCATTCATTCATTCATTCATTCAATCATTTATCTATCTATCTGCCCATCCATCCATCCAACAATCCATTGTCTGTCCATCCTTCCAACCATCCATCCATCCATTGTTTGTCCGTCCATTCGTTCATTCATTCATCCGTCCATCCATCCATCCATCAGTCTGTCTGTCTATCTATCCATCCATCCATCCAAACATCCATTAATATATCCATACATTTACATCCATCCGTACATCCATCAATCCATTAATTAATTAATTAATTCATTAATTCATTCATTCATGCATTCATCCATCTTTCTGTCTGTATATCCATCCATCCAACCACCCATCTAGCTATCGTATCCTTCAGTATGTCTGTCTGTCCATCCATCTATCATCATTTGTTGGTCTGTTTTTCTGTCTATCTATTTATCTAGCTATCCCATGTATCATTCACCCATCCAAAAGCAGTGAGACTGACAAACCCCAAAGTTGGACGCTGCGAATCGGTCGGAAGCCGAGATGTTAGTAGTTGCTGTTGTTGTGTGAGCGAAGTAGGCATTGATGTTGGCAAGCAGGTTACTCATCACCGCGGGAACACCGGGACACATGTACTTGGATGAGAGACAAGAGAAATGACTGAAAGAGAGAGAGAGAGACACAGATGTTAGATTTCGGTTTTAAACATACTCATTAGCCATTTACCATCTATGATAATGTATATTTCATATCAGATTCCTGTGAATTTACTGCCCTTGAGCATTGAAACAACAACAAAAAGTTACTCCTGAAAACAAACTGATGACTTCTGTACTGCCCAGGAATAATATTACTGAAATGCGTATTAAGAACATGATTTTTTTGCAAAGTACAAACTAAAAATTTTAATTTTTAGAACATTTTACTAAGTGGTAGTAGTAAACATGACATACATGTAAATGATTATTTGAGGTATGCACACTTGATTTTAACTGCATGATCCAACTCGTCATGTCAGAATTAACAGACAGTACAACACAGATCTGCTCATGTGTCGAGCCGCAGGGCAGTGCAGGAAATTGCTCAGCAATGTCAGCCACTGTTAGAGGAGATTCATTAAAGAAAGATATAAAAGCGAAAACGAGATACTGTAGGAGAAGAAAGAAGAGAGACATCGACTAAAAATAGCAGCAGGCCTGCAGGGCTTATACACACACACACACACACACACACACACACAGAGAGAGAGTGCAATACAGCATCTCACATGTGCACTGCTCTCACACACTCACACTCACATAATACAGTACTATTTTTTTGTAGAACATTTCACATAAACGGCTCATATAAACACATTTTTTCTCTTTCTCCTATATAATTATGTATGAATGTAAATCATTTATGTAAGCTTGATAAAGCACAATTTTTTATAAAAAAAATTTTTATAAAGCAACCATCTAATAATATTCTTGATTAAATTACTTTCAAACGGCTCTAAACAAACGATTCAACTGGATCTTAAGCACCAAACAGACCAGAAGCCAGCCATTTGTTCAAGATATACACTAAATGAAAAAGAACGCAACAATATGTCCATGTAAAAGTTCATGTGTACACACTTGCATACACAAATGTTGAACATACCCGTCACATTACAGTGTAATTATATCTTAAGTACTGAGTAATATTAATTAATAACATTACTTATTACAGTGTTAGGATTAGGGTTTGGTTTAGGTTTATTTACAGTACATGTAATTATGCACAATTATGCAATTATGTAATTATGAGTAACGAGTAACAAGGACATTGTAAAATAAATTGTTACTGATTTTGTTTTGTTTTTAAATGATGAAAATGACAGAATCGCATAACAAAATTGCTAAAATAAAATGAAAACTGAACATATAAAAAGCTAATTCAGAATATGAATAAAAACTGCAATAGTGTATAGGCCTATAAATGCCAGTAATGTTAAAATAACGTTTACTGTGGATAGACCACTATAATTTCCACTCCCTGAAGCCACACCAACAACTCACATATTAAAACCACCCCTACTTAAAAGAACCCACAGACTGAAACTGTAAAATGAATGCTGTTTTTACCTTTTTGGTTTTGTCCTGTTTTACCTGTGTCAGCTAACCTATTTTTCCTGGTCTCTGTCTGTTTTTGATTTATTACACCTGTCATCCAATTAATTCGCTTGTTATTTTCCTCATTTGTTCTATTATTTATACTCCATGTTCCCTCAGTATTTTGGAATTAAATACTGTTTCTTGGATTATTCCTGTTGTGTGCTTTAGTAAACACCCCTGATAATATCTCTGATCTCTGTTCTTTACAGTAAGTCTGCAAGAAGAAGCCGTAGGCCTTAAAGATGTGATACCGTACATTAGTACCTGCAGACATTGATTTAGACCTCATTAGTTCTGATAGCATGACCTCTGAGACCGAACGGCCCATCATGACACACACGGGAATAAAGAATTATTGTGCCTCCAAGAAAAGGTGAAGATTGATCCCTTCCTCCATCCATCTTCCCTTCTCCCTATTTCAGATGTGATTGAAAGATGCTCACGGCTAAATCTGAATAAATTATATTTGATGGAGAGTGTTGACTTCCTGTTGCCTGGTAACCGCTCGCTTTCCTTTCAGCCTATGACCATTTGCTCTTTCCTCATTTCTAAAATCCTTGTCTTGCTGCTTCAGTGGTCCGCAGAGCTTCGCTGTAAATCAGAGAAATAAAACTTGCCAGCAAGTATTGACTCGTCTTTCTCTCGCACTCTATCTGCTGTCCTCTTTAACCTCTGCGCACCTCCCTCCAATCCAGGTCTTAAATTCCCACGTGATGTCAATATCTGGGATTTCATCTGCATCTGGTAATGAGTTGTGATCTGTGTTTTCATTATGGTTGAGATTCCAGGATTGTTCTTAGTAAAGTTAGTTTAACACTTAAATGCATGAATGTTTCACCAATCATTATTACACTTTCGGGTCTTTAGCGAACCGGGTCTGTCTAACATCTAACACGGATGGATCTCTCCCTGACGCGATAATATAAAACTCTCCTGAAAATCGAGTAACAATTACAAAAGAACACAATAGAGTATATTTTGTTGTCTTTTGGAGCTTGGAAGGGTTCAGTTTAAGCAGATGTTTTATACCATCATCACTGTTCTCGTCCAGAACATCATCTGGCTCATATTCGCCATCTCAAACATAATTTCAAAAGTATCATTTTCAACATTTTCAAAATCCGTATTGTGATCGCTAACAGCTTCTTCACCAGATCCGCCATCAGACAGTGACATTAATAGATGACTGTGTTGTTCAACAATCCCTCTGTAGTAAATCGCTTTCAGGTTTTGCTGAAGATACTCTTATTCTTTTGTTTTCTGCCTGCGGTAACTATGAGTGAAATGTCACTTCATCATTGCCACCTTGTGGAATAAAGGTGAATTGCACTTGTTTAGTCATCAAAGATTAAATTATAGTCGTGCAGAAAAAAGTAATAATTACACTGTTACACGATAGTATACAATTTTTAAAAAAAAGATTAATGGAGAGTCACCAGAGGGCACTCCACACAGACTATTATTACTCCCTCACAAACTACATTTCCCATACTCACTGCCTGGACTCATCATCATTGATTGCATTCAACTGTGTCTCATTACCTTGTTAGTCTCAGCCTATTTAAAACTTGTTCAATCATTCACTTACTGTGAAGTTTTGTATATTATTGCACTGCATTTCTGAGCGATTTCTGTTCCGTGGATTACTCTAGCCTCTGACCCCTGCCTGTTTTGTTTGGACTGCTTACCTGTGTTTTTACCAATTGCCTGTTTATTGGATTACGTGTCTGCATTGCCCCTAATTAAAGTTGCATATGGATGTCTCGGAGCAGTATGTAACAGAAAACTTTGCAGACACAGAAGACAAAAGACCCATCAATGAATCCAGCAGCACAACTTATATGTCTTCGTCAAGGAGATTGACCCATTGAGAATTATGTAATGGACTTTTTGGAACTTGCTCCTCTGTCTTAAATGGGTGAGGTATGTCTAATGATATTTTTTGTGGATGATTATCTGAGCCACTTAGCTACCTTATGCCAGGGCATGACCCTAGCGGAACTTTCGAACAGTATTTTGACTTGCCCCTATTCATTGAGCGGTTCATCATCTACTGTAGGCTTTGCAGAGGAAGAACCCCACAAGCTCACTGTAAACTCTAAGCCTGAGAATCTTCATTTCATGCCACTCATTAGGCCCATCACCGGATGGCCAAGAAGATCGGCCGAACAGGGGCTTGTCCTGCCAAAACCACCGTTCCAGAGTCTCTTTCCGTCGAGGTCCCTGCCGAGGCTGGTCTTCACGTCAGTCCTGTCGAGTCTGCTCTAGAGGTCTTCACGGGTCCAAAAATTCATGCCCGAACCGGAAGAGACCCGTAATGTGCTACACCGAACCGACCCGGACCCGTCGTTAATTTCAAAAGTTGGACCCGGACCCGTGCAGACCCGAGAAATGCCATAAATGTACTGCCCGGACCCAACCTGGACCCGTCTATTATTTGAAAACTGGACCCGAACCCGGCAGGAAGACACAAACCCGACTGGACCCGATTGTCACATATTATTTCACACGAGTTGCGAAAGATAAAACTTTTTGTCTTACCTAATTTTAGTAGCCGTCGTCTCACTTCCTTGTAACTTTACCTGACTGACTGTGATGCATTACAATCCACCGACAAGAAAGTTCTATCCATGTTATTTCTCTCGTTATTCCAAGCTTAATCCACTCATTATTTCAGCTTTAAAAGTCCACTTGATGTCACGGTGATGGATGACAAATGCAACCTTGCACATGCACATTCTGACTCGAGTTAACTCGCATAATAACTTTAAAGGAGAACTCCGGCGCAAAATGAACCTTTGGTCTAATTACACATTGTTACCTAGTCAACCGTTATCTGAGATTTGTTTTCATGATTGCCGAATATAAATAGTTTTATCTCTAAAAACAGTTTAGCCTATAATGCTAGTATAACGCTAGTATATAGGGCATAGAGTAATGACAAATAAAAATCGCTTGTTATTACCACTAACAAGGCTCAAAATAGCCCCACACTAACACGGTAGCATAATAAGGGTCCCTACATTCAAAACGAAGCATTGAGAACTTTGTCAGTGTCCAAACAGTTTAATAAGAAGATATTTTATACATACAGTCAACTTCGCGAAAACAGGAAGAAGCCATCTTTGAAAAATAGTCTCTACCAGTCGATCTACGAACGCCGATCCAAGTGCGCTGAACTGTGCAGAATCTCATATGGTCCTTTGTTTCCGGAAGAAACACAAACACGAACCATTTTCTACTCTTTAATATGTACATGTAGACTACTGTTCGCGCTCACCTTATCACCTTATTCACATCTCACCAGCGCACTTGGATCGGCGTTCGTAGATCGACTGGTAGAGACTATTTTTCAAAGATGGCTTCTTCCTGTATTCGCGAAGTTGACTGTATGTATAAAATATCTTCTTATTAAACTTTATGGACACTGACAAAGTTCTCAATGCTTCGGTTTGAATGTAGGGACCCTCATTATGCTGTCGTGTTACTGTGGGGCTATTTTGAACCTTGTTAGTGGTAATA